TTTGTAAGTAACTAACCTATCGTAATATTTGGAATAAGGCCTATAGTCGTTATCGAAATACTGCAATTATTATAAATGTTTTGGTAAGTTTTGTATCTGATCGGAATAATACCACTTTTTACTAATTTAATCGTACAATTTATACCAGCGAAATACTTGACAATTCAATAGTTATATACACGGTGTCCATAAAGTTCCTTTTTAATTTCAATTTTTGTTATGGAGTCAGTTCTCAATATTTCTTAACCTGGTTGGATGTTTTAATCAGTAATTGTTTTATTTGAAGTATTTTTACTTCATTTAATACATCTGTGAAGTCCAAAACAATATATGGTATCGATAGATTCTCTTTGCAAGTTTTTAAGACTATATCGACACCATGTATGTTAGCTTAGTGCAGGCCTTGCGTTTATTGATGCAAACAGCTTTAAAACAGTAACAGACGCGCCGTTTCGAATTAATGAAATATTTTGGCCCATATAGAGAGGTGGTCACGGTGGGACATGGGACACAGTGGAAAATATGCGTTCATTCAATACCCTCTATCAGTCACGCATTTGACCTCTGGCTCGGTCTTTCGATGAGTTACGAGTGTTACGACGTCCCCGCAAACGGACAGCGACTGTGTAGAAAGACGCAGGCTATTATATGAAATTGGTTTTGGGGGTTCAAAAATAACATTTCACCATCTTTGTCTTTATTTTTTCTTTACTTCAGCCTTTCCAACATGTCAAATCACTGTCTGGCATTTTTGTCTTTAGTCCACTGTGAAATGAATACCGTATTCATAACCTGGTCGAGTGGATGTACCTCCATCTTCTTCTAAAAACATTGGTGCTTATGGGGAACAGTGGAACGCGGGGTTCAATGGGAGATGCTTTGTTGGACACAGTTCGACAGCATTTATCCACTGTGTGACTAGAACTATTAAGATGATGCGTCATGTGTTGTGAAATATTGAGTTATCTTATGGTACATGACCCAATATGGAATATAATTTATATTCAGAAATATTTTTTTCAGAGCATTCGAAAAGTAAATTATTTGATTTTGGCCAAAAAAAGGCATTTTACTTGTTAATGTATAATTGTTTTTAATTTAATTGATTTTTTTTTGAGCACTCAAAACCCGTTTTTGGTGTTTATGGCCAAATACTTATCGATAAGTTTCTTGCATAATGAAACCAGCTGATTCAAAAAGATGAGTATTCTAAGCAGGCCTATTTTTATCGCTTTCGCTGTCCGAACAACGTTGTCATTCTTGTTCATTTGGCACGCTTAGTGAACATCTGGGCCTTGGGAGGGATTACTATTACTGCACTTTCTTTGTCATTACAATGTGTTCCAAAAAATATTTATCTTAATTATATATGTTTTATTGCATAGCATAGCTAAATTGTCAAAAATATCTTACTCGGCAGTCTCAAATGGATGCCCGATTATATGAAAAACAGGATAACGTTAAGAAATTTGAGGAGGGCATGATCGAATATTCTGATATTATAAGATAGTATGCAATTGATTGTTTAGTTCAACTCGACCCGAACCAGACACGCGATCGACGTTATGACCTGATGCTGGACGCGGGGTGTGGTAGCGGTGGTAATACCCCAATGTTTGCTGAACATTTCAAAGAGATTATTGGATTTGATAAAAGCAAAGAACAAATAAATTTGGCAAACAAGAAAAATGTTTGTGACAACATTCAATACATCGTTGGAGATGAGACCAAAATGCCGGCTATTGACAACACGGTAAATCTAATATGGAGCATGTTTTCTATTCATTACATGGATATTTCAACTTTTGTAGAAGAATGTAAAAGAGTTTTGAAACCTACGGGGTGTGCAATTATTACCGGCTTTGACTTTGCTGACATCAATTTGGTGCAAAGCGAAATCCATAGATGTGATTCTGGAATGCCAGCTTTTGCAAAATACCATAAGCAAGCAGAAGACTGGTTTAAAACCCATTCTCCGGCGATTTATGAGATTTGTTCGCGGTTACCAAACGTTTTTCCAAAAATATCAGGTGTAAAAAAGTGCAGAAATGACGACTTGGTTGGCACCGTCACATTGTCACTGGATCAGTTGAAAAAATACATTTTGGGTATTCCTGAGTACAATGAGTTTTCAAAATGGATGGAAATGCATCATGAATTCGATCCGTTAGATGAAAGCATAAACGAAATGAAAGAAACGTGGGGTTTGAAAATGAAAGCTGATAGTAACGTCATCGTTCATCTGAAGTTATCCTATTTCATGCTTCGATTTTCGAAGTCAACTTAGTGCAATGATTATGAAATACAATTTTTCTTTATATGGAAATTATATATGTATCAGGTTAGGGTTAGGCCATAATTTTATTCCGATTTGACTTATTTCAGTTTTATTACGAGTTCGAGAACTTTCTATGTTAGCCAAATGAATATATCTGCTGCCCATAGGTTTGAGTCTTTTTATATAACTTGATGTATATAGGCGATCAAATAATTCGTTACCTCCATATTGGTACATGCACTTCTGTGGAGCCTCTAATTCAATTAACATGAGTTTGCTACCAATGCCACAGTCACATTATGACTTAGACATCATCCATCATAGTGATTTTGTGTATATATTTCAAAATTGATTTTAGCCAACTGTCATGTTATTATATATAAATGTTTTCAGAATGTGTCAGAAAGGAACTTTTTTTGTGACGAGCACGGAATAGAATTTACTTAAAATTAATAGTGAGTTGCATGTAATTGTACTAGGTTTTGGGACTGGCTCGAGACCAGGATTTCCCGGAATTATCACTAAACTATTTAGGGATTTTTTGGTATTGGAAACATGTACATGAGCTGGAAATTGAGAAAAATAAATCTATCCTACACAGAGTGGACTTATAAATCGTTTTGTTAGATTCATGTTGTGATTATTACTTATCGATTTTAATCGGTAAGTATGTTGATAGGTAATTGTCTGTCTGTCTGTGTGTATGTCTGTTAGATGCACGCGATATCTCACGAAAGCGAAATTGAATCTGCTCCAGATTTTGCATGTGCATTCATCATAATCTCGGACCAAAAGCCCATTGATTTTGGGCGCGTTATGTCGTTAGTTATGAAGTAATAACTGTTCACTGAAGAGAGATTTTCAGACAGACATTTCCTATGTTTTCAACTATCAGCTGTTGTGAGGTATTATGATACCATAAATTAGCGCCCATTGTACATTTATCAAAAACTGCGTGTACCGGCAGTTTTATGTCTTATATTTTCCACCAAGCGTTATTTTGATTAGTATGTGGACACTTTATTGCGAATAGGCAAAACATAGCTCACCGAAAAGAGATTTTCAGCCATCACATTTTTTGTATTATCAACAATCAGCTGATGTGGGTATTATGATATCATAGATTGGTGCCTATTGTACATTTATCGGAAACTACGCGCACCGACAGTTTTATGTCTTATATTTTTCATTAAGCGTTAATTTAATTAGTTTATGGACAGTTTATTCGTACTGGTCAAAATATAATTCCCTGAAGAGGGATTTTCAGCCACCCCATTTTCATGTTTTCAACGACCAGCTGTTGTGGGGTATTATGATATAGCAACTAACCCCCAAATGTACCCCATTTCATGTTGAAATCATCAAAACAAAGTTAATTTTTCCCAAAATTTGAACAAAGACTTTCGTAGGAATCAAATTACACCAGTTTAAGAAACATATTATGTTCCACCCATTCATTATCAAATTAAAATTTATATTCTCAAGACCGTTGACACTGATTGAAATAATTATCTCTAAGTTCCCATCCGTACGATGTACCTAATTACCCTTATTGAGATAATAGGAGTTTCTGTTTATAACGTGAATCACGAGCTCACGTTTACAGTATTTAATTAGATGTACGATCGACGTATAAATACGACTCCGATATCTTTCGAAGGAGGACGATGTGAGGGAAGACGATGTAAACCATTCAAAGCGAGTGTGGATAAATGTTTTAAGATTTATATTCTGTGTATCGTGGAAATCTGAGAATAAAATCAAACAGAGTTTTCTCAATATATATGCTATAAATGGTGACAAAGCCGACTTGAATTAATCTTCTGAAACGGACCAGATCAACGGACAACAATCAGGACAGGCAACAATTGGACGGAATCAACCAAAAAAGCTGTCCAAGCGAAAGCTTTCAACAATTGCCGAGAAACCGTCTCTCCAAAACGTGCAAAAATCAAATTCGACCAACTTACGAACGTCGGGGAGATTCAAATTGCCTGGAACAACGATTGAAGTAGCAAATTGCTGACAAGCCGAAATAATCAAAAACATTATGAAAAGACAATAAACTCAATTGAAAACAGTTGCACTATGATAACAGACTCTGGAAACGTTAAAATTATGAATATGGACTGTATTGAACATCGATCGAAATGAACTCTTTTAGAACATGGTATATGTTCGAGATGAAAAACCTAATCAAAAACAAACTGTTGAAAACAATGAACGATATGGACTGTTTTACGGTAAATTACGCGCTCTATTCCAAACAATAGAGATATTTTCGCGCATACATAATGGATATACAGATCAGGAGCATGTCATCCTACAATTTGTTTCGTGATTTGCAGGTTTTTCTCCTCATTGAGACAGATATTTTTCATTCTTCCACTAATACTAAGGTAAAGTACTTCTTTTTCTTATATATACATGGCGTTTCATTCGACTTTCAATTTTTATAAATTAATTAATGGTAACAACTTTGAATATTTTAATTTCAAATACCTTTCAGAGATTTATATTATTAAATATTTGTGGTTAACATTCCTTTTCGATTAAATAGATTTCGTTATCATTAAAATGCTCTCTAAAAGTAGATTCGAGCGAGTCATACTTTTAATTATTTACAAAGCCGTCATATAGAACGGTGAAATAATAAGCTCGTTAAACAAAAATTGTATCAAAAGCGTTATTTTTTCAAAAAAGCCCTGAGATGGCATAAACTTAAAAATGCGTTTTTTCATCCCGACATGGGACAAATATATAGACCAACTAGGTCTCAACGCGTTTTTTCTTCCCGACATGGGACAAGCATATATAGACCAACTAGGTCGCAACGCGTTTTTTTTCATCCCGACATGGGACAAGCATATATAGACCAACTAGGTCGCAACGCGTTTTTTCTTCCCGACATGGGACAAGCATATATTGACCAACTAGGTCTACAAAATCGTAACAATGCGATATTGCGAGCATTGAGTATTTTAGCGTAGCGAAATACATTAAATTGAAAAGATGTTTTAACCGTCCAAACCAAAATTTTTAAAATAAAAATACGCCATCCTTCTGTAATTCTACTTTACAATCTTTACCCTTTCTATAAACTCTTCTGTATTTCAATGTCTTGTCTCATTGTAGATCATATACATGTAAATATTTTTTTGACCTATATATATCATTAATTTTAGCATTGTGTATTGTATTTTTCTATATATTTTCAATTTATTAGAGGGTTCCAAATCTTTAAACTTCCAGTTAGTAAGATGGGGAGATAATATAGCAACTAACCCCCAAATGTACCCCATTTCATGTTGAAATCATCAAAACAAAGTTAATTTTTCCCAAAATTCGAACAAAGACTTTCGTAGGAATCAAATTACACCAGTTTAAGAAACATATTATGTTCCACCCATTCATTATCAAATTAAAATTTATATTCTCAAGACCGTTGACACTGATTGAAATAATTATCTCTAAGTTCCCATCCGTACGATGTACCTAATTACCCTTATTGAGATAATAGGAGTTTCTGTTTATAACGTGAATCACGAGCTCACGTTTACAGTATTTAATTAGATGTACGATCGACGTATAAATACGACTCCGATATCTTTCGAAGGAGGACGATGTGAGGGAAGACGATGTAAACCATTCAAAGCGAGTGTGGATAAATGTTTTAAGATTTGTATTCTGTGTGTTGTGGAAATTTACAAATAAAAACATATAGAGATTTTTAACGCATCTTCATTCACGTGGGCGTTGAAGCTGAAGGGTGAACGGGTGACTTGCAAGTCAGAGACAATCTACGAAATAGCAATATACGGTAACATCACATTCATCTAACAATCATATATGCTATAATGACATCATAGATTGGTACCTTTTGTACATTTATCAAGAACCATGCGCACCGGTAGTTGTATGCCTTATGTTGCGTAAGCATATGTATTGGCTTACCGGTGAATGATGCTCATGTCATGATATTTTATTACATCTACTTTCCGATTGTTACAATTCATTTCTCATATCCAAATCGGTTGTCAAATTGCCATGTTTGCTAAACAATTCACTGAAATAGTCGGTTTCGATATTAGTAAAGAAAAAAATAAATTGGCAAGTAAAAAATATGATTATGATAACATTCAATACATAGTTGGAGATGAAAGAAAAATGCCAGCTTTGGACAATACTGTAGATCTGGTAACATGCTCATTTGCGATTCAATACATGGATGTGGACAAATTCGTTTCGGAATGTAAAAGAGTTATGAAATCTACGGGTTGCGCAATACTTTATGGCTACGACATCGCAGATATTGTGTTGGCACAAAGGGGGGTCCATCAGTCAGATTCTGGAATGCTCGCGTTCTCTCAATATTTCAAGATGTCGGAAGATTGGTTCAAAACTCACTCTTTCCTTACGGTTCACAAACGTTACAAAAAAATATCAGGAGTAAAAAAATTTAGAAATAACGGCTTGGTTGGTACTGTCACATTATATTTGGAAAAATTGCGAGAATGCTTCATTGCTATTCCTGAACACAGCGAGTTTTTGGAATGGATGAAAATACATCATATATCGGATCCTTTGGATGAGGCCATAAAACAAATGAAGAAAATTTAGGTTTGGAAAACCATGCTGATAGCGACATTAGCGTAATCCTGAAATTATCGTTCTTTGTACTAGGTTTCAGCAAGAACGAAAATTGAACAAGATAACTTTATAAATTTTGGATGAACTACCACAAAGACATAAAAAAAAACCTACAGACGCCGGTAGAATACGAATCAAAATGAAGACAGGTAAACAATATATTACACTTTTCAAATCGTTTTTGATTATCATCAAAAATTGATACAGAATTAAGCTGCATAACAATCTTTTATTGTATCTTTGACAATGCCATCAGAACATAGAGTACTTACTACTTACAGACTGTTTAATTATATTATAAAATGTATTATTTTGGATTAGATTTTATTGTTTACGTATTTTTTATCTTTAACTAATCAAGTTTGTTGACATTTCTTAATATTGTAGATAGTTTTCGATTGTATCTTGATTTCGAATTCATCACATTATCCAGGTGCTTGGCCAAACCCATTACCATTATATTTCCGACTAACTATCCTCTTCTTTGGCTTTTCAACAACTATTTCAATTCGTTTACATGTGGCAAATGCTATGTCAAATATCCTCCATGCTTTATTTCAGGTAAAGGCCGATATTGGTGAAATTATCAGGCAATATTCCGTTGTCGAACTTCTCCTTACAAAAAAAATTTCTGTACCTCTGAAAAATTAATGAAATATTTTACATCTTTTTTGTGAAATTTCGACTTATTTTTAAACATGATTTTCCCTATAAAAACCGCATCAGTTTTGCACGAAACGGGAAAATATAATGTGTTGTCTGTACACGTATTTTTGTCTGCACACTCATTTGTATCTGTGATTTTGAATTAGGAGTGATTTCAACATATATGATATATGTCTTTTGATTATGAAAATAAGTTTGTAATTGATTTTTCAGATTTCATCTGAAACTATATTCGTTAAATGCATGCTGTTTTATGACAAATATGAATTCATTTAGCATTTGGACCTATATAAAAGAGAAGATAGGTAGACAAAGAGAGAGAGAGAGAGCCTCTTGTCACAGATTAAATACAAATAAGCGGGGCATTACATTTGATATTCATTGCGGTAATAACATATTACTCTAGTCTAAACTATATATAAAAAACGAAAACAAATCTAAGGTACAAAATAGTTTTTTTTTTAAATAAGTATATTGTTTCAAAATACTTCTCGTTGAAATTTCGTGCTTATCCTCTATTCGGCTATGATAATGACCACATCATTAACGTGAGGGCATTGTGTAATCAGGTGGTCAAGATGGTTCTGTTTAGTGTTATTCTGTAGTTTATTTACAGTTTTGTGAATATTCCTGTTAATTGCTATTTTGGGGAAATACAAACTTCATTTAAAGATTTTAAAGTTCAGCAGACAGATGATCAATTATGACTGATTATATAATGAGATATTGTATGATGTTTAGTGATTGGTAATAAATTTTATGGTTTACACAATGCTCATCATAGATTTATGTAATAATTTTGTAATCTATATGAATTTGGTAAAATTACTTTAAATTGTAAATGTTGTAGCTAGTACATAAAGATAGTTACTGTGTATTTCAATATTTCCACCACATATTGTTAATAGTGCATGTTATTTGCCTGAAACAAGGTCTTTGTTCTAATTAATTTCCTTCATGATATATTTTCCCTCGCTCAGTGTTGCTTGTCCTTGTCGTTCTTTGTTAGTTAGAAATTTAGTTTCATCACATATATATGCTTACGTTAAGGTTTGCATTTTCAATATATCTGTTATTTGGATCAATTCGATTATGAAACTTTACAATATAACAACATTTGGCAATACAATACATTGTGGGCTTTATTGACCCCTGAAGGAGTTCAGATCGGAAATACTCTGTGTTAACGTGTGTTCAATAACACGGGAGTGTGGTCCTCTTATATTAGTTCAAAATTTCAAAACAACGGATTTTCCAATATTAATCCAAGCATGCATGTTAAGATGATTAGATGGAAATATTCAACTAATCTCAATAGAAGTTTCGCCACACAACGCACTTTTAGATGATGACTATATGATTCAAGATGCAAGTAATCGAAACCGATTTTGAGGTACATTGCGGTGTTTTAACCCATTTCAACAATAATCCCAAATTTTATTTAGATAAATGACTTGCGATGCGGTTTGTCCTACTAATTCACTAATATATACAATATTTAAATATATATATCTTCGGTATATCGACCCAGATGAGATCAGCTATGCCAAAAGATGGGCCTAAAATCTTTAAACTGATTAATTAGGCAGTTTGGGGAAATGGCTATGCCGAAAGATGGACATGAAATCTCTAAACTGATTAGTTTGGGAGTTTGGCACGAAATGAGAATCTTATTTATTAGATCAGAAATTCCAATAACGTTGGATTAATTGTAATGATAGATGGGATGTTTGTAAAAAAAATACAAGGCTCTATAAAAAAAAGTTTCCGAGCCAATTACCGATCTCAATGCAATTCTTTTGTGTTTTAATGTTTGTTTTATGAGGTTTGTGAGCGGTTTACAAACGTTTTCCGAAAAATATTAGGCGTAAAAAAGTCTAGAATAGATGACTTGGTTGGTACCATCACAATGTCATTGGATAAGTTGAGAAATTCCATTTAGAGTATTCCTGACCGCAATGAGTTTTCAAAATGGATGGGAATGCAACATGATTCCGATCCTTTGCATCAGAGCACTAAAAATATGAAGAAAACGTGGAGCTTAGAGAATAAAGGTGATAATGAAGTCATCGTTCTTCTTCTGAACTTGCAACGAGTGCAACAATCATGATAATTCAGTAGTAACATTTCATAGTATGACAATTCTTAGAATGTTTCCAATATTTTGGTTAAAATAAAAATAATATAATGTATAAAAATAACAAAGTGTCGGTGTCTTGAAAATGTCGCGTCCCAATTGTTCCACACCACGAAAATGACGTGACCCACATGTCCTGCTTGTCCCACGTATCCCATGGGCCCGCCCCACTTGTCCCACGAGACAAGTGACACACAACATTTTTGGGACACCCCAGATTATGTGGTGAAATATTACTCACATAATCAAATAATTTTAAAATGAATACATGTACTTATGAACATTGTACTTATCTTGGGCAGATTTGCAGGTCTAAAGTAAGAGGGTTTTACAGCTAAACTGACGCCTGATTATTACCCAAAAAGGATATTCCAAACAGGAATTATTCCAATTTTTTGACTCAGGCAATGTTGAACTATTTGATATCGAATGAAACGTTCAATCTAGATGATTTCAACTTGGAGAAAGCAGAATCGCAATAGAAAAATCTGTAAAAAGTACTGTGGGAATACTTCAGAAAATTCGTCATGGAAAATATAATTATGCAATTTGGAATTTTTCGTAGATGTGAGCGGTTCGCACTTTTTTTCTCGCTTTTGCAGTTATTTGAGTTGAAACTTTTGTTGTTATTTCCGATATAGAAATGTTGGGACTGCATTTCTATCTCAGACCGAGTTTTAATCGGGTAATACACACGTCGTTGATAAGTATAGGTGATACAAGTCCAACTCAACTATATAACGCAAACGAATTCTAATGTTCGATATTGATTAACGATAAATATTCTCTGTTGAATATTATTTTGCGTAAACTTATATCGTTTTATCTTACCGTATCCAAATTTAAGATAAGCAAATATCATGGTCCTATTGCATCTAACGATATGACATTGCACTGCTTTCCGAAGACTGCGACCACTGTTTCAAACTACGTACAACGCTTGAAATATATTTTAACTAGATTTTTATATTAATATTGTTGTGATCTTTAAAGATTATGAAATTGGAATTTGATGAATTACGCCAGTGTGCCCAAATATCGATATCCTCCGACTGAGACAATAGAAGACTATTATTAAAAATGTTTGATGTGAACTAATCTCAAATCGGTAGTTAACGAAAATCCCCGATTATATTGATAGAAATGTGTTCAAGAGAATATATTTTTTATGCCACCCTTATGCACGCAGGAGGCGGTATGTATGTGACAGGGCCGTCAAAGATTGGCAACCGCCGATTTTCTGTACAAATATACAAATTGGCAGAGACAAAACATTTCATTTGTATAGAGTTAACGAATAGGTTCCATTTGTATTGTTTACGATGATAAAATAACAGTATTACAATAATAATTTTTTCCAATAATAATATTTACAATAACGCTAATCAGCCAGGTATTAAATTTATTTGATACAACGAAAGTACGTTCTATCATCAAGTCCGATCCAAATGGCGGGGTTTTTGTAACCATTTCCTGTGATTGTTGGGCCATATCCAGGATCAAAGGGGAATAAGGTTGTATCTAAAGTCAAAGCATGATTTTTGATAAAACTAATCGCTGACGAAAATTTCCGCGGATGCAAAATTTCTCAGGATAAACGTTTTTTGGGCAAAAGTAATTCAATAATAACGATATAATGGAAACAATTGGAACAAGTGTGACACGTGGGACAAGACATTTTTGAGACACTCATAGAGTGTTGCATCTTATCATGTTAAGCATTTCTTTAATGCTTTGAATTCACCTAACATGATTTTTTTTACAAATGGCGCAATTACATAAAACTTGGACGTCGTTCATCGTAGTCTTTTTGTTGTTGTTGTTATATGGTTTATGGCGCTAATAACTTCAGCGGTCTTTTTGCGCCTTTGATCAATTCGTATTTAAAACTTCTACACTAACATAATACAATATTTACGAATATATAATTATACAATTGAATCAATTACAATACGTAAATATTTCTAAACATTTCTGCCTTTTTTTAGTCTTTTTGTGTATCTATTATAAACACGTCATTGCATGAAATATGTTCCAATCTATAACTTATGTTGTATTTCGTGATTTGGTCTAAAGCCGATAATGACAATAACGGGATCAATGACATGATGAGGTACTTTATTTTTGGTTGTTATGATCGTTCTGTCTACTCTAGCCTCTTGATAAATTAGAATTCGATATATATTCTGGCTAGTGCAATTCAAGTTGGATAAAAAATTTACATTTTGAGTGTTCCTGAGTGCAATGAGTTTTCAAAATGGATTGAAATGCATCATGCAATATAGCATTATAGAAATGAAAGGAATGTGGAGTTTAGAAAATAAGGATGATAATGTATTCATCGTTCTTCTGAAGTTATCATTTTCGCGCTTGGGTTTTCACAAAGAAATTGACGTCACGATCATGAGAATTCAGAGCAACTTTTCACGGCATGATAGGAATTTCTTTTTCTCACTTTAAATATAAATAATAAAGTGTTGCATTTTATCATGTTAAGCGTTTCTTTGATGCTTTGAATTCACCCGACATAACTTTGTTACAAATGCCTCAATTACATAAAACTTGGACGTCGTTCATCATAGTCATCTTGTGTATTCATGATGTTCCAATCTATAACTTATGGTGTATTTCGTGACTTGGTCTAAGGACGATAATGACAATGACTGCATCACTGACATGGGCCGCTGTATATCTGAATATCAAGGTCGTTCTGTTAAGCCTGTAGGTAAATAATATTTTGACATATATTCTAGCTAGTGCAATTGAAGGCCATAAAATATCATTTCCAGATAAATAAACCTCATGTGCGGAGTGTTGTTTGTATCAAGAATCTGTAGGATAGATTGCTTGTTTTCAAATAAACAGGGATACTGCGATCTACATACGTATTCTAACTTGCTATATTGGTATCAGGGTTTCCTTTGTTGCAATATTCAATAAGTTTACAAACAATTTCAAAACGCTATCAGATGCGCTATTTCGATATCATGAAATATTGTCATCGTCAATCGGATCCCATGAGCTGAGTTTGGTATAAAAAGTTGAATTTAACTTAGTTTTGTTTGAGTTAATGATTTGGGTCTAAGTCCTTTTATCTTGGACAAAAACATCGATGATTCGTTACAATGGTCCACGTCACATTTTAAAAAAGTACTTTTTTCTTAAAAAATTATATTTCACAGTAATTCTGACCCTTCGACGTCAGCCTTTAAAAATCAAAATCTTGATTGAATGTTCTGACAGACGTAACGTTATTAGCTAACCTAAATGTAATTCTAAATTGTTCAAGTTAATACTGTAAAGGTTTTGAAGGGCCGTCACTGCTGAAATAAAAAATTAGTGTATTCCATTGAGTAGACTACCCTTCCTAGTTCCTAGCAATGAAATTGCGTTCCAATAAATTCATTATCTTGGTTATTTCTATATTGTTTTTCAGCCTATATCGTCAAATATCTAACCCAGTTGTCTTAAATGGAGGCTAGATTTTATGAAAAACATGATGTCGTTGAACAATTTGAAGAAGGCATGTTCGAATATCCAGATATTATAAGAAAATATGCAATTGATTGTTTGGTTCAACTCGACCCAGACAAGATGCGTGATCGACGTTACGACCTGATGCTGGACGCGGGTTGTGGTAACGGTGGTCATACAAGCATGTTTGCTAAACATTTCAAAGAAATTATTGGATTTGACATAGCCAAGAACAAATAAATATGGCAAACAAGAAGAATGGTCATGACGGCATTCAATATGTTGTTGCGGATGAGAACAGAATGCCAGCTTCTGAAAACACAGTAGATCTAATATGGAGCTTCTTTTCGATTCAATACATGAATGTTGAAACTTTTGTAACAGAATGTAAAAGAGTTTTAAAACCAATGGGATGTGCCATAATTGTTGGCTTTGACTTTGCTGATATCCACTTTTTACGTAGTGGAATCTACGAATGTGATTCTGGAATGCCAGCATTTGCCAAATATCTTGAGAAATCATCTGAATGGTACAAAAGTCACTTTGCAGCAGAATATGAGGTTTGTGAGCGTTATACAAACGTTTTTCACAAAATATCAGGCATAAAAAAGTCTAGGAAAGACGACTTGGTTGGTACCATCACATTGTCATTGGATAAGTTGAGAAAACACATTTTGAGTGTTCCTGAGTGGAATGAGTTTTCAAAATGGATGGGAATGCATCACGATTGCGATCCTTTGGATCAGAGTATTAAAGAAATGAAGAAAATGTGGAGTGTAGAAAATAAAGATGATAAGGAAGTCATCGTTCTTCTGAAGTTATCATTTTTTGTGCTTCAGTTTTCTAAGTGAACTTGATTTAACAATCATGAGAATTCAACTTTTCTTCGATTACTATTCTTCAGCATTTTATTTTTATTTTGTTAAAATAAAATTAATAAAGTGTTGCATCTGCATCTTATCATGTTAAACATTTCTGCAATGATTTAAATTGAATTCACCTGACATGAGTTTGTTACCATTTTCACCATCACATAAAAACTTGGACGTCTTCCGTCATATTCATTTTGTATATATATTATAAACTTGTTTTTAGCCAACTGTCATGTTATTATAAACAAATGTTTTCAGAATTTGTCAGAAACAACTTGACAATGCCTTGTGGAACACGTAATAAAAATTTACTTAAAATGAAAATTGAAAGTCAGTTGCGTGCGTAGTAATTTGACTAGGACATTAGGATTGGAATAGATATCCCGAGACCAGAATTTCTCGGAATCATCACCCAACAATTCAGGAATTTATTTGGATGGAGACATGTACATGAGCTGAAAATTGGGACAATATATCCATTTTGACACAACGTGGACTTGTAGATAGTTTTTATGAATTCTATTGTTGTTGTTGAGGTGAATGTTGTTGTTAAAAGAAACTCACTTTTCTTCAAAACAATAAATTAATTAATCTCAAACCTAATATGCCATAAAAGTGAGATAAAAATGTAATGCTATGTCGAGCATGCTCATCGACCATCCACTCGTCTAAACCATAGGTTCTAAAGAAGCAATAACAGCTTTAATAAAATTTGACAAATATATAACCTCGAAATATGGAAAGAGGCGAAAAATTGTTTATAAGCAGGAGCGCAGCCAGGATTTTTAAGAGGGAAGAGATTCAAAATTCGAATCAGAAATTTGCGCGCAACATTCTCCGCGATTGAAAAAAAATGGATAACGAAATTTCTGTTATATTCAATCCATGACCAATGCGAGGATATAAAGCAGTGGTTCTTAAACTTTTTGAGCCGCGCCCCCCTTTGAAAAATTTCACAAACTTTGCCCCCCTCCTATTTTTGCTTTAAAAAAATGCTTTTGTGATGGGCAGGTTGCTATATATTAAGATGGCGCTATAAGAGTGTTGGTCTCATAGCATCATTGTTCAGATTGTTAAGGCATAAAACGCTTTGGAGTACAACTTCGCCATACACTGTCGTATGTATAAAGCCAAATAATGGTTGATCATCATACATTCTCGTTTTTCCCCTCAGTTAGCAATAGCAAGTCAAACTAATTTTTAGGTAAAACTAAACACGCAATAAACCTATGCTTTAATGTATTTTCTGCTTAAACGTTTACATAAGACACGTACAATTTCAATCAATTGTTTATCACTATTGAGCGATGCCAAAATTATTTACTGTTTGTTAAAAATAAGCAACAATTACAGACTTATTGGCTTGCCTAACGTTTCAAACAAAATGGAGAAGTCCAAATGAATTTATGTAAATTTGAAAGCAGTTCATTTTTTAATAGTTATTATACATGTGGACGTTTCCCCGGCCCTTGACCGCTGAAAAATAAAGTCGCTAAGGCGTTTGCGATTGCATTTTGTTTAAATCTCGATTGTTTTCGTAAGCGTGGCCTGCTATGCCGTAAAAATCTTGATTTTGGTGTTTATTCTCCCTAAATCAGAAATTTCCCTCGACATATTCTTGTGTCGCGAAGACGATTATAATTACTTTTTTTGTTTTCGAATAGAACCATGACACCTCTGAGGAAAACGAGTTAGTTTTTCATTATATAATCATCAGCGACGAGATGCTAAAGATAGAATAAAGTAGTGAATCTGCAACCAAATATTTCTTTATTGTAAAAGCGAGATTATAAAATACTAAAAATAAAACGGAAAACACCATGAGTTTTGTTTTGGGGTGGACCGCGATAGATTAAAAACACTTTCTTATACATTGCAAATCCTATAAATTCCTTGTGCCTGCGGCACACCAGTAGTGTTCTAAAACTACCGACTTGAAATGAATTTTACTCCGTGGGATTTTATCGCAGACTAATGAATTTCTCGAACGGTGTTAAAAATTAACCGAGCATTGCGATAGAGCGGAGTAGGAGTTGCAGGGACAGCTCATAATGGTGAAATTGGCAAGAATACAAAACAAAATTTAATCGAGCACTTTGCCACACATTTTTATGGTTGCGGATTACCGTGATATTTTGGAGTAGTGGTGCTTTTATTTTATCGACGCAATCGCAGATTTAATTGATCACAATTAAATGAACAAAGCAACCATTTTAAATGAGTATATCGGTCATGGATTGAATCTTTTATTCAACACGAAAACCATTACATATCCATTGACAAAGTCGGCTCTTATAACGTGTGGCGTAATCTCGAGGTCTGACTCAGGATTCGTACCGCGGGGATTTCGAGTCGATGAATATGTATTTTAATTGTACTAAATTAAGTATACTTTCTGGGATATTATACCAGAAATTTCTAATGAAGAAAACGAATTCGCATGAGTGCAATATATATCAAAACTAAATATAATCGGGCAGTTGATCACACTTTAATATGTCCGCGGATTGGCGTGGTATTTTAGATCTGTAATGAGTTTATTTTGACATGAGTCGCCGCAACCGCGAGTTACCTTGAACACAAATGAATTAAAATGGAGAGACATTTTGAATTATTGTAGTTATTACGAGACAGAAAAATTAATTATACCACAAAAAAGCCGTTATTTTTAACGAACGCGGAGACCGTTTCAGGAGCCGTTACATGTAAATATCCGATTCCATTTTGTGACCTCTCGCCCCAATCACAATCACAAGTTCTGGACAAATTACAAACGATTAAAATTTTTTCTATTGCATGCGGCTCCGTCGGTAGTTTCAGTATGAAAAAACCGTACATCGCGCGCACAATTGACTGTGTTTCAATTTCGCAGTTATTACGATGATTAACCAAATAAAACCTAACATAACACCAAATTTTGTGATTTACAATATCTATAAAAGCGTTTTTGATCTGACGTGAGTCTGCTGAAACCAAATTTATAGTGTGATCTTCCATTTTAAGTTTTAGTTTCAATATTTTAGAATGCCGCTTTTAAATCAAGAAATTTGAGTTGCGGATTTAAATCTTTTTAAATTATTATTTTTAGCATTTTGTCGCCGATGACTATAATGTGGTAACATGTTTTTTACATTGAACTCACAATTCCCCACGAAAACAAAAAGCAATTATCTTCGTCATTGTGGAAAAATACATGTATACGCCAAAGGAAATTTTTGATTTGGGGTGAAATAAACACCAGCGTAAAGATGTTTATTGTTTAAAAACACGCCATGCTGACGAAAACAATCGGCTATGGTAACAAAATGCAATCGCACACGTTATTAGAAGCCTTTTATGTATTCCAAAAATGTCAAAGAGAAAAAATTCGACCCCTGGTTTATTAATATGTTTGTCAAGTGTTAAATTTACAGCTTTATTATATATAATTTATCTAGGAAATTTTGATTTATTTATGACTTGTTTTAACCCTATTAAAAAAGATTTAACATTTAATTTAAATAAAGTACTTTTAACTTACTCAGAAATGTTAATCGAAAAATAACAATTTTACCATTTATTTTGGGGCTCCGTGAATAATAGTCAACCTATTCAAGGGCTCCGCAACATCAAAAGTTTGAGGAGCCCTGGTCTAAACAACTAAATCCTGTTTTCTGCTGTATACCTAAGAAAAATGCATGATATCAAATCGATAAAGCAAGTTATTTGAAAGATCTTGTATTCTGTATAATATGGGCTTACAAACATGCTTCCTGAAGAAAATGTTGTCCATGTCCATGTTACATTTCAAAAATCGATTGTTATTTAGTATGAAAATGTGATAAATTCAATTTCCCCAACTTTTTCTTTTCTTTTTGCTTTTTTCATCTGCAAGTTCGACAAACTGTGAGCGATTTTGAATCTTTGTGCTTTGTTAATGTAAGTGTGTATTTGCCTTGACTTTTATTTTATAACCTCAATAAATCTTCCAGACAATTTAGGCCTTAGGGCATAGAAACTTTTCAAAATGAATATGCAAAATCTGCGTGTGATCGATTACCAGTATTACCGAAAACAGAATATCGGAATTACACATTTCAATATTCTGATATTAGGTAGTAGTAACATGCAACCTTATAACAGAATTATTCAATTTGTAAGCTTTGTAATCGCTTTGAGTTCGATTTTAGACATTTATAAAATACTTTAATTACAACTACCGGGTTATGAATTCATTGGGATTTTATATGAGGCACAAAATATTTTTTTCAGGTAACTCATTCAGACAATTTTACAGTTGTACAGGTCGACACGTAACCGATACCGGTGTACGCTACAATTGAAACGAGTCATCAATTCGGAAGTAGATAAGTTATAGACCAGGGGTCACCAATCTTTTCGAAGCCGAGGGCTACTTTCTGGGTACAGATTAAGCCGAAGGCTACCAGTTCAATACACACTTCTAAAAAAGTCAGTTTGCTCGATTAAGCTTCAACTATTGATAATTACTGGTATTTAGTCAAGTAGACCCACTGATAATCTTTAGGATTCTTCAAGAAACCAAACGTTTATTACAACGTTGCAATAAATTTCTATCAATGACGGTGAACGTACATTTGAACCCACGTACATTTCGTACATTTGAACTCATGTGTATATCCGCGGGTTCAATTTATATGCGGGTGCTAAAACCCAGGGGTTAGGGTTAGTATGGGTTCAAATATCCGCAAAACAAACAAAAAATGTCAATATGTGCAATAGTATGCAGGTGCAATTGTCGTGGGTTCAAATGTACGGGAACCATCAATGACACTTGCATTTTGAAACTGAGTGTTTTCAAATTGATTTTAAAATGATCACTACTATAATATCCTAGGAAACCACAATGTACCTGGATTATTTACAAACACTCTGCACAAGCCTAAGATAAAATAGACTTAACAGTTATACTATAAAATGTTACACTGTAGTGTTGTACTGAGGTGCTGTTGTAACTCTGAGCGAGACTTGCAGATCATCAGAAAGGCGTGTTTCGTGTTTGTTCCTGGTGAAGTACATGTCAATAAATGCGATTACGATTACTCTGTGTGATGTCAAAATTGGAAGACTATTAAATGACCTGTCACATTACTGAGGTCAAATCAGGTTGGTTATTACAATAATTAATATACTCCAGTGCCTTTCCCAGTTCCCATACAAGTGTGATCAATACAAGAATAGCGGGACAAAAAATAATTGATGTAGCTTACTCATAAGCGCCGTTATTACGCTTATTTCGGAACAGACCTGCGGGTG